TGCCCCTTTTATTTTCCAGGAACTCGAAATCCCTTCTAATGCTCTTCTCAAGTTTTCCTGTGCATGAATGTTTGCACGTCATCCCCTGTGGCTGGGTGAATGGCGGAGTGCCGGCCAGCTCCCACCACCCTTACACCAAGCTCTGAAAGGCTCTACCTGCCCCAGCTGAGAAGAAGGTTCAGATCATGCCCAAAGAGACCAAGGCCTGAGGATCTCTTCCACTCTAATTTCAAAGTGTGCAATACTGTAGGTGGAAACCACAGAATAAGAGAATGCTCCCAGCTGGAGCTCGAGAGCCATGGGTTCTCTTCTGCCACATACTGGTTGGATGAACTTGGTCAAGCTACTTAGCCTATAAAGTCCTTGATTTCTATCTTTTGAAAAGTAATGGCACTGGCTTGGATTGGAGTATCTAAAGGTATCTGCCCAATCTTAAAGTACGGCAATCTGATGTTATTTATGAGGCTTCTTTACATGCACGTGGCCATGCTAAATGTTAGTTTTAGAATTTAGGGTTCTCATAGGTGGGACCCATGTCCTGAGATAGACTAAATATTACTAGCACATCCCTTTTTTTAAATTAAAATTTCTTTAATTGAAGTGACATTCATATGACATAAAATTAACTATTTTAATGTGTCTGTGGCAGATCCACTCACTTTTTAAAGTGTTAGCATAACACAGTCATTTGGGTTGGTTCTATTTCACCATAATAAAAACATGCTGCACCGTACCTCTATGCTCATCTCATGCTCGTAGGTAGGAAACTCTTTCTGTGTAGGTTGAGAAGAACTTGCTGGGTCACACGGTCTGTATACACACACTTTCGCTTTGGTGTGGATGCTGAACTGCTTTCCAAAGCGGTGTAACACGTATGTTTCCCCCAGCAGTGTCTGAGAGTTCCCATTTCTGCCCCTCACCAACCGCAGGTGGGGTATGCAAAGGGTGCCACAGGGCGGTTCAGAGTGATGAGCCAGCTCCACCCACATCAACACCGGGAGACCTCAAGAACACAAAGGTGAGCACAGAGGCAAGTTGCAGAGCATGAAGGGATGGTGGTGGACTCAGTTTTGTCTGCAATATTTCATTTCTTTGATTGAAAACCACTTGAAATAAGACAAAATAATGACAAATATCAATTCTGAATGAGGGGGAAATGGGAGTATTCAATATACTAGTTTCAAGAGTATTCTTTAATACTCTTGAATGCACTAGTATTCAATATGCTAGTTTTATGTATTTTTAAAAAACCCTCAAGTAAAAGGGGTAACTGTTGTGCAGAGATTCCCAAAAACATACTGAGTAAGAGATTTTTGGAGGAGCTTCCAGATTTGGACTCAGTTTTTCCCCTACCGACATTCACATTAGTTCATATTATAGAGCTGGCTAGCCTTCCCTTGTGAACATTGTTTTAAAGATTAGATTAAATATCAAGGAATTTTGGAATTTCTTATTTTTAGCCAGTAAAAGGAAACATTTCCACAGAATGTAAAATAAGTGCTCGAGTTGAAGCCTGTCTGGTTTGCTCCACCTAACTGATCCTATCTACAAATGTTAGCAGGCTATTCTGGGCCTGGGGTGGGGGAGGTGACTCACGGTGCGCCTGCCTCACCCCACCCCCACCTGTTTATTCAGGTGAAATCAGGTTAGAATGATTATTAAGGACCTCTTTGGAAGGGAAGAGACGTCAGAGAGCACCCTGAGAGACAGCCTTAGACCAGGGATGGTGACAGTCAGTTGGTAAGCACCCTACTAACTAGCTCATGCGTGTTCTGTGGACTATTCTGTCTCAGCAACTGGGCCTTAAGCTTTACTTCAGAGATGAGGCCAAGTCTCCTATTCCATCTCAACCAGCCACTCACGTCAGGGAAATAGTCTATAGATCATGTGAATGGCTTTTAATGAAGACCTTCCCTGTAATTCTCATTTGAGCCTTAACTTTCATCATCTACCTTTTTTTTTTTTTTACCAGAGTGACAAAAAGGAAAAAAAATAGGGAAGAAACTAAACAGACTTCACTATCTGTCCCCCTGATTCCTGACAGTCCTTGCCCTTTCTCAGGTTGCTGAACCTCTTCACCTTGGTTTTCTCCTCCATAAAGTGAGGGCATTAATATTTATCCTGTATGCTCTGTGGGCAAAATAAAATGAGACGCTGTGTGGGAAGACCTTTTGTAAACTTTAAGGCAGTTTTCTTCTTGGATTCTCTCTCCTACCCTCCAGCCTGAATCTATTCCCTCCTCACACGGGCAGTAGGACTGCCTTCTGGTTTTTGCAAAGCCTTTCTCAGCAGAGCTGCCCAGCTGCGTGAGCCGAGAGGGAATCAAATGGTCCCACTTACAGTATGGGAGGAAGAAACAGAGCTCCCATGCTGAATTACTGAGTTTCTAGCACTTGTTAGGTGACTCTCTGCTTATTGGGTTCCAAGCCAAACTCACTCCAGAAGACCCGGCATTTTCTGTCTTACCAGTTTTCAGTGATGAAGTCTTGGTCAAATTACTTAATGTGTCTGAGCCTCATTTTAAAAATGTGATACTACTTGTCTCACTGGGTGGTTGTATCAAATGAAGACATGTTATGGTCAACAGTCCAAGCAGATGGCTTTTTCTCATCCCATTTTATGTTCTCTCCCTTCTGTTCACCTTTCTAAACCTCTGTGCCTCAGCTTGCTTCTCCATGTAAAGGGGACGATAATCCTTGGTCTACTTAGTGCACAGGGTTGCTGTGTGACTTGGGATGAAGGCTGGGGTAGGGCTTTGAAACCGTGAAGTGCAGCATAAATACCTGTAGGGGGTTATTCTCGGGCTTGCTGACCTCACACCGGTGAGTCATGTGCTGGTCCTCACAGGCCTAGGAGGTCCCTTAACACAGCTGCTCTTACCTGCTCCTCCTGAGGCCCTGGGTACTCGCACATCCCCCTGCCAGGCTCTGCAGTCTCCGCACACCTGTCCCCCCCATGGCTTGCCCCTTCTGTCTCTCTCAGTCCCTCTCTGGATCACAAGGCACAGGACCATCCGCCCACTACTCTATGGACACAGAGAAGGTGGCTGCCCCAATCCAGAGGGCTGTCAGACACTGTCCATCACGTGACACCCTCACCCCCACTCTCCCTCTACCCTCATGAATACATACTAAAAAGACTCATTATGGGGAGATAAGGAAAACAGGAAGTGCTTCTGAAAGCTCCCAGCAACCCACCCTGTGAACAACCCCACCCCCCTCCCCAGAGGCCACCAGTGTCTTTAGTAACAAGGCCACCAGCCCCCTCTGCGGTTGAGGAAGAGCTGCTGTGTTTCAGACCCAAGAGGGGACTGTTGGGCCTGCAGCCGGGAGGCGGGCCAGAGGCAGGGGAGCCGAGCTGCTGTACTCTGGGCACAATTTCAAGGCCAGCTGCAGGGAGAACAAGCAGTCGCTGTGTGCCTGCAGCTGGCCGCGGTTAGGCCAGGGCTGTCCCTCACTTGTGGTATATTTAAAGAGACCCCACCAGACGATCGTGCCAAGAGGAAAAATGCACACATATCTGTTAGCCACACTCAGTCCCCAGCCAAGGCCTCTCCTCCTTCAGCCGCAGTGCCCAGGCAGTGTATTTATGTGTAAATAGAGAAGGCCTGGCTCCTCACCCTCTCCCAGGTGTAGGTGGCCACAGCCACCAGCCACGTACCACCTGGGAACACGTGGCTCCTGGGCCTCTCTGCCCTCTGACCAAGCTGGCGGAAGGTTCAGAGGATTAGCCGGTGCCTCCCACCCTGGTGTCAGTAACCCACAGTAACCCAGCAACCGAAGGGGAGAGGCGGGCAGATGAGTCAAATAGAGCTGCAGTGCGGAACTCTGGCTTCGGGATTTGTTTATGAAAACTCCCTGAGAGCCAGCGAGCAGCACAGGCTCCCTTCTGCCAGGCAGTGCGGGGCTTTCCCCCTGGGGCAGGTCAAGTGCTCCTCAGAGGGCCACTGGGCCCCACCGGCCTGCTCATGGAGGCAGAGCTGCCGGCCAGGAGGAGCCCGTCCTGGCGGAACTCTCTCTGGCTGCCTCATTCACTTGCTTTGCTCAAGTGCAAATAAGACTACAAGCCTGAATCCCAGGGGAAGGGGAGGTTGGGAGCTAAGAGCTCTGAGCAAGAGAACCACTGGGCCTGAGGTTCCATAGAGTGGAGACAAAGCGGTGTGCATAGAAGTTTGGGCCAGAGAAGAAGGAGAGGTCCTCACAGCGATCAGGGAGAGGACTTTGGGAGAGCAGAGGTGGAGTGAGGGGTGGGAAGTGGGCAGCTTATCAACCAGGGGAGGGGAGCTGACAGGCAGACTGTCTAAGGCAGGCTGCTACAAGTGCAGAAGAGTTAGTAAAAACAGGAGTGCACCAACAGGATCAGCTACATAATTTGTGGGGCCTGGTTCGGAATGAAAATGCAGGGCTCTTTGTTAAAGAAGTTACCAAGAAATTCAAGACAGTGACAGAAGAACATTAAACTGAGAGCCCTTCTGAGCACAGGGACCTCTGTGGCCATACAGCTTACACACCCACACAGCTGACCCTGGTGCCCATGAGTCAGTGCCTTGAAGCATTTGTGCAAACCAAGGCAGGGGAACTGGGAGACGTCTGGTCACCTCTGGCCTCAACCCCCATACTCCCCACCCCTGCTGCCCTGTGGCCACCAGTTTCCAGACTTTTACCAGGTTGGGGACATTGCCTGTACTCCAACAGCAGCCCTCTCCCTGTGCTAGGCAGTGGTGGGAGCAGGTCTGAGGGTGGGAATGGACTCTGGGTCTTCCGGATCTTTCTGGTCCAGAGCACCAAGGACACTCTGGATGGACCAGCAAAGGCGGGCCCAACATGTGGAGCCCTCTGAGTGAGGGTGTGGAGGTCTTTGGGAACAGGATGGAGAAACAATACATAGGCTACACTTGGGATCACCTCTTAAGGACCCAAGAGGATATGTCCTCCAGGTGTGTGACAGTCCAGGAGCGGAACCAAGGTCCAAGAAACCTTCTCCCCACTTGGGAAACTTACCTCCAACTCTATGTGGTCATTGAGTTTCTTGCAGGTGGCTGCAAAGGTCTCCGAGGTGCCAAATTCAAAGTACCACAGCTTGTTCTTCATCCTGGAGCATGAAGCAGAGAGATGGCTCAGTACTCTGTACTTGAAATGGTCATGTAAAATGGCGATGCAATTTGGATTGGGAGGCCCAAGCCCTCAGCATCTCTCAATCTTACATTTTCAGCACTTGTTGATCAAAGGATAGAAATTTTTACCAGCTGTTCTTGCTAGGAACTTAAAGAAAATCCACTCATTTCTTAGACATCATGGCAACTCTGGGTGAACTGCCAACTGCTCTCTGAACTTCCTGGTCAGAGCAGGGGAAAGGCTTGCCTGCCTGTGTATCTGCGTTAAGGAAAGAGTTCCATGAGAAGTCCAACCAGAGGTGGAAAACATGGATAGCATGCTCTGGCCACGGTGCTCCTGCTAATACAGAGGGACTTCAGGCAGAGCCCTGTTTGGGCTACGGTTAAAGTATGTAGGGAAGATCATACATCCTTTTGGGACTCGAAGGTTGCAGTCTTCGGACAGAGGAGGGATAGCCCCACACCAACCCAAACGAAATGCGTATTGTCTTGCCTATGCTCTGATTGGGAGAAGTAGAGTGGACAGAATTAGACACGGATTTGCAGGCAAGTTGGAAAGAGAAGAAAAAAGGTGAGTTGTTTGGTGATAATAATCACCCCCCTCTTCCTCAAATGTATTTGGTTAGGCTTTGACAATCCTTCATTTAAGGATAGGCCTTGTCGTATGTACTTCAAAGTAAGAATTCACCATTTTGAGCTTTAAAATTTTTCAACGCTTTAGGAGAAAAAACAAACAAACAAAAAACCACAATGGGTTTTCCATCTAGCTGGGGCTTTGCAAAATCAGATGGTGTGTCCTGACACTTGGTGGTTTTGATCAGATGGTCTCACCAGGAAGTGTTTCTGAAGGTATTCCATCCCTTCCACCCCAACTGTCACCCCATTATCAGGGCTGGCTGAGACAGGGGACACCTGTCCAGTTTGCAAGCTGACAGATTTTCCTAAGGAAGGATTAAACAAAATCACATTCTTCTTGGCACTCAAGAGAGGAAGCCACTTTGCGTCTTGCTAATCCTCTCTCTTTAGATTTGTAGACCAAGAGGAAAGGAGCATTTTTTTAGGGGGAAGAGGACTCTAGTTTCTTCTTGGTGTTCCTTAGGTCATAGTAGGTGACTCTTCAGAATAACAGACACAACTCTTTTTCTATGCATTTCCCCGAGAATATACCTAGACCTTGAAGATGAGACTGTGTTCTTCCTTTGTGTGATGATTCCTGAGATCTAGTTCATTGGGGAGTAGCTTTTCTAACACTTGCTATGCATGAAAAGAAATGATAAATGATGAAGGAAATTAGAGTAAGCAAGGTCTAGGGATTATGCCTCATGAAAAAAGTTAGAAGAACTTTAAACAGACCAGTGCTTCTTAACCGGTGTGCTGCAGCATAGGTAGGCCTAAAATATCAATTTCCTTAGACTTCAGAGTGGCTGGGTGGGGGCGGGGTAGGCTGAGCACCAGTGCCACACCACACATTCTCATCTGTACTCCCAGCGTGCCAGACGGATGTTTTTGTTGCCTATGCATGCCATGATATTTGTTCTAGATCACCAGTTCCCTGTACACACAGTAACGTGCATATATAAATCACCTGGGGATTTTGTTAAAATGCAGATTCTGATTCAGTGGTTCAGGATCGGGGCCCAAGATGCCTCATTTTCTAACAAGCTGCTGATTCTTGCTGGTCCAAGGATCACACTTTGAGTAATGAGAATCTGGAGATGGCCCCTGTGCTTCTCAAACGTTAGTATTCATAAGAATTACCTGGGGAATGTGATTAAAATGTTGCACCCAAGGATCTCATCTGTAGAGATTCTATGTGATAGCTGTGGGATAGGGCCCCAAAAGGTGCACTTTTATGAGCGTCCAAGTGATCATTATACAGATGGTCAGTGGACAGGACTTTGAGAAATATTGCTGTAGATCCCAGTGAAATGAAAAACCATGGAAAAGGACAGAACCGGTTAAACCTGAAGGAGAGGATTCTCTAGGGAGAACAGAATGAGGGTCAGTGCCTTTCAATAGCCAATGATGGTTAAAGACCAAGTAACAGGAAAAACACAGATTGTCATAAATGCCAAGGTTGAGAATTCCTTTCCGGCAGTAAGAGCATCTCTGTAGCCAGGAGACTTGCATTGTGATTCCATTTTCAAATATCACTGCTGGTCTGAATCATGACTTTTGAAAGTTATTGCAGGAGATTTAGAGTTTTAATAAATATTTCCAGAAGCCACAGCTATTTTTGCCCAGTAGTGCCTCTTCTGATGATCTAATAAGGTTAAGAGGTCATGGTTAAATTGGTATAGTGGAATAGCTGAGAGGATCAAATGGACTACTCATCCATCTCTGGCTGCGTACCCTTTGACAAGTTATTTAACTTTTTTAAGCCTCAGTTTCCTCATCTATAAGATAGAAGCAAGAAAAAGATCTGCTTCGGCTGGTCTCGGTAGCTTACGCCAGTAATCCTAGCACTCTGGGAGGCCGAGGTGGGAGGATTGCTTCAGCTCAAGAGTTTGAGACCAGCCTGAGCAAGAATGAGACCCCATCTCTACTAAAAATAGAAAAATCAGCCAGGTGTCATGGCACATGCCTGTAGTTTCAGTTACTTGGGAGGCTGAGGCAAGAGAATCACTTAAACCCAGGAGTCTGAGGTTGCAGTGAGCTACAATGATGCCACTGCACTCTACCCAGGGCCACAGAGTGACTCTATCTCAAAAAAAAACACAAAAAAAACCCCACAACAACAAAACCCAAAAAACGAAGATCTGATTCAAAAGGTATTTGAGAAGATTAAATGAGATGGTAGCAAAGCACTTCACCTAATGCTTGATGCATAGTAGACTTGCCAAAAATGTTAGCTATTTACTTATTAGCTATTGCTATTTTAGTGTCTTGAGCTGACATATTTGAATAACATAGACAAAAATGATAGATCAGGTTGTGTAGCTGTAGACATATATTCATATTTTTCTGAGCAAGAAAAATATGTGATCATATTTGTTAGACCATGTGTCTTGACTTCTGATTAAAAAAAATGTTCCTCACATGTCTAGTTTAATAGATTTTTCTAGAGTCACAGGCCACACCCTAATCCTTAATTAATTATCTTGGTTGGTCACGTGACTGGCCAGGGATGTGATATTGATTGCTAATATGCTTCTGAGAAAGTGCGTGTTTGATGTGAGACAAAGTATTTATCAATTCAGCAAGCATTCATTATGCCAGAGACTAGACAGCATGTGCTAGGTACAAGAAACAACAAAACACAGCATTCCACGAGCCAGACACCTGGGAAGGACAGAGGAAGCAGACCATAGTGCTAAGAGCTAAGCAATGGGGTACATAGGAGGTGGGATACTCGATTCTTAGTGGGGTGAAGGCCAGTTGGAGAAGCATCCTAGGGGGCAAAGCCAGAGTTGAGTTCAAAAGGATGAGGAAGGGAAACAGAGAAGGTGGAGCATGACCATTCCAGGCAGAGGAAGAAGCCCAGGCAATGGGACAAGCAAGAGACAGCATAACCTTGCTGGAAGGGACATAGAACTCAAGGTGGGGCTTGGCCAGGTAAGGCTGGAGAGGCAAACGGGAGCAAGATGGTGAAGGGTGGGGGTGCCAGGCTTAGGTGTTTGGGCCTATAGGGAGTCCTGCACCATCCTTAAGTGGGACTGAGGGTGGGTGTGGGGTATTGGCAGTAGTGACCTGATCAGATTTGTGCTATTTAAACATAATTCTGTCCCAGGTGTGGGACATGGATTGGAAGGGGTGGTACAGACTGGAGGCTTGGAGAATAGCTCAGAGGTGGTGTAGAAATCCAGGCGAGACCTGGGAAGGGGCAGAACAAGGCTGGTGACAATAGTATTGGGGGAGAATGGTAGGGGGAGTCACAAGTTAAAATTTAGGAGGTGAAATTGACAGGGATGATTAGTTATGAGGGGTGAGCAAGAAAGAATAGTCAAAGTGACACTCAAGTTTTTGTCTTAGGCAGCATGAAAGATGGCAGGTGCCATCTCCCGAGAGAGGGGCACAAGACATCAATTCTCCAGTGGCAGTTTTTGGCCCACCTGCCCATCCATCCGTCTATCTATCCATCCATCCATCCACTGAACATTCATTGAGCTCTACTATGGGCCAGGTGCTGAGCGATCATTAAGACATGCATGACCCCAGCCCTCACAGAGCTTATACACTTTCAATAACTTCACCAGGACCCTAACATTAACCTCTGACCCATAGGAGACAAGGGTTTTAGATGTGCTCAAAATCTAAATGTTTCTATTTCTCCTCTTTTAACTCAGGCACTTTTTAGTTATAAGTGAATGCATTCAATCCCCAGGGTCTTTGGTTTTATGGTTCACATTTTATACACACTGTCTCCTTCAACTCTCAGAAGAACCTTGGAGGTAGGTACTATTGCTATACGTAAGGAAACCCACAGATTGAAGTGAAGTCCCCTCTGCCTCATCTTCCTTTTCCCCCTTCCCCTTAACCGCAACAACAAAAGGCCAAAACCAACAACCTCCCAAAACCCTGGGAAAAACCCAAGGGCCCGGGACCCTCTACAATTCGAGGTAGGAGACGCAAGCCCCAGTCTCTCTGCCAACCAGAGAGCCTGAATGCAATACTCCTTCTTCTCTTTTGCAGATGTCCCCCCAGCCACTTTACTCTTAGCCCTTCACTCAGCAGCCCCAGGAGGGCTGCTGCTGTGCAGTGTGGCACCGGGTTTTTGTCTGTTTCATCTTCTGCGGTGTAAGAATGTGGCATTTGGAAACTGAGATGCTAGGGTTCATGCCTGGCTTTGCCACTCACCAGCTGGGCAAGTTATATAAGTTGTTTGAAACTTCATTTCTTCTTCTACAAAATGGGAATATTATTTTCTACCCAACAAAGTTGTGACGCTTATGTGGCAAATGCAAAACACCAAGCAGGTGTTTAATGCATAATAAACGCTCAATAGCTGCTCTTCCCTGTTGCTAGGAGACCCAGTCAC